ATATATATATATATATATATATATATATATATATATATAGTGGCTTATGCTGCCACCCCTGAAAAATCCTTGGCCCCCTCTTACCAGTCCATAGATACAGTAATGACGCCAACAGATGTAGTCTTTATTAGAATAAGAACGAGCTGCTATTCCTTAGGCTGCAGCTCACGTCTCTAACAAACCGTTACACTCAACTGAATAGCTTCACTGCTAACACACTGAACTCCCTCTTCTTCTGGTCCTGGTCCTCCATTGATCCCCCCCACATGACAGGTCTATCACATGTGAGAGTGGGAGTCAGCAGAGTCAGACAGGGGAAGCCCATAACTCTACACATAACAATGATCACAATGCAACGTATAACAAATACACATAACCATGTGGACACCAGAACTAAAATACAGAATTGTTACAATATGTTTCTAGATCCGCCACTGGTGTAAAGAATTTGTTCCAGTAAAGATTAACATTAATTGATGACATTTGGAGCACCTGTAAAACCCCCATTAATCCAGAAGGGACGTATAAAGGTCCGTTTCCATCCGAAGGATCCTGGTCAACATAGGCATCAAAGAAACAAAGAGGGGGCAGTTTAGCCCCAGATCTATTTCTGTCCTTTCGTTGGTGTATGTCGCCTAGCAACCGATTGTGCTAAACTGCTAAACCTGGAGCTCATATTTTTGCTTATTTTTAAAAAATGTTTTTGCATATTCAAGCCTTTTTAATTAATTACATTGATTAAAAACAAAAGCCTAGCAACACAACTGCTTTACGTAGTGTGACATAATCATGCTTCAAATGAGGCCTTCAAAGGATGTATCCCCTGAATTTGGATGGTGAGTATTACGAGGTTCAAGACATGCAACATAGTCATTTATGCTTGAATCCCTGTTGGTACCTAGGGTAGGGTTTAGACTCTTACTTTGAAGTTAGAAAGGAAGTAGTTTCTGCCTTGCTACTTTGGATCAACACAATTTGATCCCATTGCTCGTTCAGCTGCCCACCAGCAGTGAAGAAGTGCCCACCAGTTTGAAATTGTTCATCTGGGGTTCTCCACAGAATAAAGAAAAAACAAATGACATACAGATGAGATATGAAACCTTCCAAAAATTAACTGTTATCTGATAGTGACTCTAAAGTTGGTATCTGCTTTGAGCAGATGCTACATTGATTCACTGTTTCTCAAGTTTATTAAGATAAGTCAGAAATTGATTAAATTATTGTTCACTGGTTGTAGAATTTTTTAAAAATTTTCAAGGCTGAGCAAACAAAATAATCAGAAATCTTAATTTTCATTTTCCCCAAAATATTGTCTTATCCTTGTCTTATCTCATGCTTGTTAAAGCTATATCGTCTCTTCTTGTAACACATCTTTACCCACTAGTGTCAGGCATCAAAAATTATCTTTTCACTCCGATTATGTGTAAAAATCCAACTTCTGATCCCTTACAATCAACATGTCAGATTTTTGAAACCATCTTTCTTTTCATTTCACATTCAGTATTTTCTCCTTTTTCCTGTCTCTGTCTTAAATCATGTTTAATTTGGAAACCGGCCTCCTTAAGCAAATTAGCAATTAGAACAATTTTGCAAAAATATGTATATGTGTCATTAGTTTTCCTGCCAATTAATAGCTGGAGCATGGGGTCAGGCAAGAATTTTCCACTTGACTGCTCCAGTACAGAGGCTTAGCTCTCAGAGCTGCTGCTGCGGCTATCAGAAGGAGAAGGGGAAAAAAGAAAAACATGATGTACCTTTGGAGCACTTGCCATAATTAGTTTACCTTGTAGCCATTATTTCTTAAATCCCTCTTTCGCCTTGGCTGACCTGACCCATCCCTGCTCGGCGCTGTAACCAAAGACTCTCTTCAAAGTGCTGCCTCTGAAGACGCTGTAGGTTCTTCTTAACAATGGCCTCATGGACCTAATGATGGAAGTCGCTAAGGCCCAGTAGTTAATCATCACATCACCTCTGTAAGCACCTCCTAATTAGAGTTCTCACAATACAATTTCAGCTTGTAATTAGCCCAGATTGGCTTCTTCCTCTGGTGTTCTTATTAAGCAGTAGGTGAGAATCTGGATGAGTTGTCCAGACTAGGCAATATGGACTTAAAGGAGCAGTGTTATATAAAATTGACTTTTATTGAGTTTTATGTCATGCTATGTTATTCTCTCATCAAAAAACACCTACAGTGTTACCTTGATTGTTTCATGCATACTTGCAAAATCCTGTAATCTCCAAAGCAACCATTTAGTTGTGCAAAATGCCTGGGTGGACTTAGCATCACCTTCTAGGATGAAGCTCCTCTTCAGGGCTGCAGTCTCCAAGCCTCAGAGCTTTAGCTTTACAGAGCATCCCTCCCCCGCGCTCCTCCACTCAGCTCCTTAAGACTAACCAGCAGCAATTAGCAAAAATCTGCTGAGGTCATTATGTGAGCTACATCTCAGTGCGACGCTGGTGAAAATGTTGTTAAAGAGTTAATAGAGGAGCCATGTTGTGCTGACTTTCTGAAGATGGAGCATCGGAAAGAGACAGAGGCCCAATTGCAAGGCGTTAAATTACACAGTCAAATTTTAGCCATATTTGATATAGATAGCATATTTATATCAACTCAAGGAAACATAGTTACCGTGCTATAAAATGGCATTATGTGGTTGGAAAACACTGCTGCCTCTTTAAAGCTTTATCAGAATATTTTGTGATAGTGCTGTGATAATAGTAAAAGTGAAGATAAGACATTTTTTTTATCAATCTCACAAATAAAGTGATTATTGTCACTGGACTATACACAGTAATTGCATTAAATCATATTTTTACATTTATTGATAGAATACTCTCATTAAACAAACAGTGGATGGTAAAACAAGCGATCCAGACATTTCAGACAGTTTTGGGGGATTTCAAATATTTGGGAATGAGGTGAAGGCGGTGGTGAGAGAAAGAAATTAATCACAATAAATGATAAACGATACAATAAATGCCCACACCTAACTCAAATTCAATCTAACACTGCTGCTGAAAGGTGAAATATGTTTTAATCTCAAAGTCTCTCTGCTCTGTCTGGTTTTCCTTTCCTCAGCTCAACCTCGTGTCCAACGTCACATTGTCCAAGTCAGCACCCGAGGCCTCTCCACCCCTGAGCCTCCCGCAGACCCCCACCACGCCCACAGCGCCCCTCACGCCCCTCTCTCAGACCCACTCCGTCATCACAGCCAACAGCCTCCACAGCGTGGGGCCGATGCGACGACGCTACTCAGAAAAGTACAACATGCCCATCTCCCCAGGTTTGGCGGATTTTTGCAAAAACTTTGAAGTATAAGTAAAAAGTATCGTTTGCTTTCTCTTTTTTACATTTGTCAAGTTACAACGTCAAACTTGATTGTTTTTGTTGGGTTTTATGTGAGAAACCAAGAAAAGTTAGCATCAGATTTTGAGGCATAAGGAAAAGGTTCAAAGTTTATATGGGGTTAGGTTTAGGGCATATAGGGTATTTTTAACAGGTGCAGCAGTGTGATTCATTTATATTAAGCTTCCTTTACCTTGATGTCCCTCAACAACATTTAGTGAAACTAACCACCATTACAAGTCACCTAATTAGTAAATCTTCCTGTGTTAAATTGAGCTAAATAATGGGACAATTAAGGTACATTTATCTAATTCAACCATATTCTGAACGTTCCCATTTATATGTGGTGGGAAGCGAGTCAATGATGGAATTGGAATTGATGGAATTATGATGGAAATAAATACAGAGTAATACTGAAGAAAAGTGTTACAGCCTGCTGAATACTGCAGACTGAGGTGCAGGTAAACCTCTGACTGAACATGCAGCCAGAGAATGTCAAAGCACGTTCACCTGTTAGAAAAGGCCTAGCCAAAGCAAGTAATATGGACTTACTTAAGTATTATCGCAATACTTAAGTAAATATGTGGCAAATATTGCCCATTTGAAATAGGCTTCTTCAGAACGCCATTTACTTAAAGACGTGTTATCTATGTCAGTAATCATATTTCTGGTCATATATTAATTGATGCTCTTTTGGGACAGCAGAAAAACTAGCAAAAATAACATCTCTGATCATACTGCCAGTTTTTATTATTATTTACCATCAAAAATTAATTAATTAATAATAAGCCAATTGGCTATTTCATTGCCAATTTCACGTATGTTTCTTTGTGCAATGACAATAAAATAAGTCTAAGTCTAATTGAAATTTATTATGACAACAATCTGTCAAAATCCTTATAAGATTTTTTTACAATAAACGGTAAATACTCACCCTGTCAAAGTCCAAAACTAAAAACTTGACATGCAGCTGTGATTGCAGCAATAGATAATTGTACAAAGCATTAAAATTCACTTCTCATATAAAGATTTTAAAAGCCATATATTGGTTTCCTTCCACCTCATAAGTAACTTTTACATGTGACTGAAAACATGACATTAACGCTAAATAAAATCAGTTTAAATTTGTAATTGCAGCGCACCCAAACGCCAAAAGTTAGAGGTAATAATATACATAAAATGAGCCTGTTCTCTAGTGTATTTCACAATGTTTTGATTTTGTTTCCTGTGTACAGATATCGGTCAGAACAAGGAGTTTTACATGAATGCAGATGTTAGGCCACCATTCACCTATGCCTCATTAATAAGACAGGTAAGCAGCCCACTTGTTTCTTTCTTAAATGACTGAAATTGTTTACACCCTATATTATGTCAGTTTAATCCACCCTTTTTTCTCATATTTGAGCCCAGTTTAGCCAGAACAGACATATCTGATGACTTACTTTCATTAGGATATTTTAGCCAGGGCAATTGCCACCAAGTGCATTTTATACAACCTGTTTTAAGATGCCAGTCAATTATCGCTCAACCACAGTAATCTGGGATCTCAGGAATTAATCTGAGCCGTTCATAATTGCTGTCCTGTAATCTGCCTAAGAAATGTTTTTTGCTCGCCCCTTCATTTGCACCCACAAAAGGAAAATGTGGGTTTTTAAATTAAAAGTTCTTCACAGTCCTGATCTGTGTTGTCTGTTTTTCCTCCAAAGGACAACTCGCATATGCACTGCTTGACTTTTCTCAAAGATTTTTAGGGTTGTGGTCTTTTTTGGTGAAGCAGGCATAAAGCGTAAAATGTTTGTCTCTTTTGCTTGCTCCTCATCCAGGCAATCCTTGAATCTCCGGAAAAGCAGCTAACACTAAATGAAATCTACAACTGGTTCACGCGAATGTTTGCATATTTTAGGCGCAACGCAGCAACATGGAAGGTAAAGCATTTATCAACATTTCTGTCTTTAATCTTTTTTTGAATGTGAACCAATGAAGGCTAAAGAAAAAGAGTTTACTCAGAGTCTAACAATGCAGCACCTATTCCGTCCAGGGGAACCACCCTTTGTACAAATACACAATCAAATAGAAAAACAACCTGCAGGGAAAGAAGGGGAAGAAAAAGAAACAGTCGTCTGGTAATGTGTTCCTGGATGTGCTGTCGGTGTGTGGCACTGGCCAAACATAGTGCTTCACTGCCAACAAGCCTTGGCTGAGCCCCTTGCACTCTTCTTTAGAAGGTGGCGCTCCTCGTTGGCCCCATAAACTCACCGTACCGAGTAGAAAAGCACTGATGAAACACTGAAAAACCCCCCCACAACCACCTGAGCCAAGACTGATCAGTCACAAGCAGCTTGAACCACACCTCAAACATAAATACATTCTGACACACACAGACCACCCCGCTCCACCCGTGTCCTCTGTCAGCTCACACAGTTGCTGACAGCTCTTCCATAGGGGCCTGCTGGCGTTAGAAACACTGGATTCTTCCCCCACTCTGCTGCTTCTGGAATAACAAAAGGATGATTTATGAACATCTCCTTTCATTATTTATTTTGCTGAACCTTTAAGTTGTGATTGCTCTTCCTGGCAAAATGACCCCAACATGTTCTGGTCAGTAAGAATATTTTGTGTAACATGTTTGAGGTTTTAGATCTAATTGCCGCCAGAATTCTGGCAGCAGGATTATGCCTATTCCTGCCTATTCCTGCCTATTCCCTGTTGTGCTGTGAAATAAGCAACAGAGTTTGGAGGCTTTGACCTCCAAACTCTGTTTGTCTCTTATAGCTTGTCTCTATAAGGTGACAAGCTATAAGAACATCATCCAAAACATATTTAATAGCCATCCAGCTGGCCATGAACTGTTTTATTAAAAAAATGAGGGTGACATCACACTGTATGAGAGAAAGAGAGCGGTTCCCCATATAAACCTGTTTTTTTTTCAATTATTTCAAAACAAAATTTAAACTTGCTGAGCATCTTATGATATTATATCTTATGATCAAAGCAAGCAGTCTTGTGTATTCCAGACAATTTAAGTAAGCGACATCCCTGCTCTGAAACCTGATTCAAATCACAAAACTGCATCCTTAGAGCTCTCCTGTACTTCACCAAAACCAAAATGGTGGCCGCGCAGTTTCGTGGTTGTGGGACATTCGTTATTCGCCCCCACCTTTCATACAACAGCACAGCCCAGCTGGGTCAGACCAGTTTTTAGCCATTTCACAATCTTTGTAGGCATTTTGTGAAGAATTTTACAAATGTCTGTAATTCCTCACAATGTCTGAAAAGCATTCCTCCGGATACAAAAACCAAATGATGGAATTGGACTAGTTGAAGCGAAATATCAACATTGTTGTCAGAGCATATGGCTGCATAAAATACAGTAACAAACTCATTACCAATCACACAATACAACGCATAGAGCTCTACGCAAATTAGTTCAACCTGGGCCTGTGATGCCTTCCTATAAACAAGATGCTGCAATTTTCATCAACTACAGCTGATCTCAATACATAAGATGAGGCCGTCTGGGAGAGACTTTAGTCTCCTGCCAAGTTCTGCTAGATCAGGGGTGTCCAAAGTGGGTCCTGGAGGCCCGGCATCCTGCATGTTCTAGTTCTCTCCCTGGTGGTAGAAACAACCTTTTCAGCAGGTCAATGTTCCTCTTAGGCGTCTAACAGCCATCATTTGATCCAGGTGTGTTAAACCAGGGAGAGAACTAAAACATGCAGGATGCCCGCCCTCCAGGACCCACTTTGGACACCCCTGTGCTTCTAATGTTCTATCAATTTTTATTGTCTTTGGCAATGCTTATATATGTGCGTTTAAGAATCAAGTAAAGATCAGCTAAGCAGATCAGCTGGTTTGAGCAAACCTGGTTTGAAATTAGCTGGTTTGAGTGACCAGCTAATTTCTCACTGCTAATAAGAACTTTAAGGACCACCCTCTACAAGTTTTTGTTTTGTATCTTTATTTTTCTGATATATATTTGATCAGTTTTCTGTCAAAATGTTTTAATGTACTGTATTCCTGTTGTTCCTTTTTTGTTTTCTTTACATCAACCGCAGAACGCAGTCCGGCATAATCTTAGTCTTCACAAGTGTTTTGTGCGAGTAGAAAACGTTAAAGGGGCTGTGTGGACAGTCGACGAAATAGAGTTCCAAAAGAGACGGCCTCAAAAGATCAGCGGGTATGTTTGCCCTCTTCGAAGTGTCTTGTCTTGTCAGCTGACTGACAGATATTGGGGAGGGGGGAGCTGCTGCTCAATGTCTGTGTGCCATAATGTGCAAAGTCCCTGCTTACTTTGGCGTGCCCACCCTCCCACCTCATCCTTGCCACTTATGCTTTTGGAAGCCCTTTTGGTGATGCCTCATGACTCAAAATGGCTCATTTTCATTGTGATCCTCACCCTTTTCCCTTCCTCCTTGTGTCTGTTTGTGTGTTTGTCTTTCATCTCTGCCGCCCTGCATCTGCATCTGGCTGCATCGCTCGCCCTTTCCCCCCTGCTCCCACCACCGCCTTCACCCACTTTCCTTCAACTCCATGCTGGCTTGCTTTCCCAGGGTGCCATTCGCACCAACCTTTCCCGTCATAAGTGCTTTGTGCAAGTAGAGGATGAGTTTGGGTCCTTTTGGACTGTTGACGTCAAGGAGTTTAAAAGTGGCCGACACGTTCAGCGAGGCCGCCCTTGGAAATGCGCCCCCGATGAGAAGTTTGAGGAGCTGCTTGTACAGTAAGCACCCCCACCCCGGTGCCTTCCCACCCTGCATGCTTCCCTCCCTCTTTCTCAATATTGCTATCATGCTTTTTATGTTGAGCTCATCAGCCATCATGCTTTCACAAGCCCTCATCTTCCTTCCCTTGAAAAGCTAAACGTTGAAATCCAGTAGTGTGGCATGTAAAGTGATTGAACATCTCAGGACTATAGCCTTGATATCCACATTACTACATCAGTAAATGTGTTTAGTTTAAAGTGCATCGATTTCTCTTTATGAAACAAGATCCTGTATGCTAGGTGAGACATGAGTCTGCGGGTCATAACTTAATTTTTCTTTGTTCACAGAAGTCCAGCCCTAGTGAAGAACATTCAGACCAGCCTGGGCTACGGTCCAACTCTCTCTGCTGCCTTCCAGGTAAAAATAATAAGTGACTTCATCTCATGCTGCTTCAAAACATCAAAAGATGGAGGGAAAGAAGTCTTCCTCTGTCTTGTCCACACAAGCTTTGTGTTTTAGGTTTCCAAGAGTGACGAGCAGCTGTGAAATCGTTGACAACCATCTTCCATTTCACATTTTATGCTTTTTTCCTTTTGTTGTGTGTTTTTTTTTATCTCCAGGCTTCAATGGCAGAAAACAACATACCTCTATACACTACTGCTTCCATTGGAAGTCCCACACTCAACTCCCTGGCCAACGCCATCCGCGAGGAGATGAATGGAGCGATGGACCATGAAAACAGCAACGGGAGTGACAGCAGCCCGGGACGCTCGCCTCTGCCAGCTATGTGAGTGACACACACTGTTTTTTTTTTTGTTTTTTTTCCTAGCAGAACAAATCCAGGTGTGACGAAAGTAAAAATGAAATTTGGCTGCATTGGAAAAGTCTTTAATGTTTTTCACATTTAGTTACAACTGATATTGTGTTTTTTTTATTTAAACTTTTTTTATTTAAACTGAAAAGTTTAGCATTTTGCTTCAGCCCCCTTTACACTGGTATCCACAAGTAAAGTCCAGTGCAATACATCATCCAGAAATGGAAAGAGTACAGACTAGGTTTAGGTATGGCTTAAAAATAAAATCTCAGCATTTCTTTCATAGTAATTATACTTTTTGAAAAATATTTTCAAAAATGGCTTTTATTTCAATCATCCCTTCTATGAGTTTTAAAATTGAATATTAGGGTCAGCCTATGAACATTTTTGTTAAATTACTAGAATCCAGTAGTGCTTCTCAGTCCTGCACTACTTGTTCTCTGTATGTCACATAAAATCATATTAAAATACAATTGAGTTTGTATATGTAACCTGGCAAAATGTGAAGTAGTCCGAGCGCATGTGAATATTTTTGGAAGGCACTGTAGTTGTCATCAGAAAACACTTTTATTGTCCATGCAGAGTTCTCTAAATACGCCTGATCTGTGGCATTAGATCAGACAGAAAGCTCACTGTCAGAGTGCCAATACATTTAAGGGAGAGGATTGGTATTAGTGGTGTGTGTCGGGTCACGGCCAGCACTGTGGCAGGCCTCCCAGCAGAAAAAGGAAACTCCACCTTTTCAAAGCTAGAACAGCCAGGAAGAGGAGACAGGACGCCCCCCACACCCTCTGCTATTCTAACAGCAAGTTATGAACTTTGCTTCATGCATCCTGCTGACTGTCAGAGACTGAACCACATCATCGGCCCAGCTTGTTCAAAAATTTACAAAATCTGAGAAAGCAGAGGGACAAAGCGGCCTGGCCTCCGACGCAGCACAGACGAACCTGAGCTGTGCTGCGTCCAGAAACACCTCTGAAAGAAAAAAACACAACAGACAGCTTCCAAGATTGTCTTGTAGGAAAAGCTGCGGTGGGCCTGGAAACCACAGCTCCCCCATTCGCTTGTTGCATAGGAGTTACTGCTAAGTTGCTTGAAGCCTAAAATAACAACCCACACGCTGCATCGTTTCCAGATGTGGGGGTGGAGGGGCGGACCACCGATGAGCAGCGCGGGTCGACTGAGGGATGAAATGTAAGAGCTCAGGGGGAAAATTCTGCCTGAAACCAAAAAAAAAAAGATAGAGAAAGGTGCAGTAATAAGCTCATGGCCAAATGGGGGAACGTGCCACCCTTAATCACTGTGAACACAGCTCTGAGCATAGCTGTGGAACAGGAAAGGCAGAGACAGGATGGGTGTGCTGGCCTGAAGGCAGCCTGCTCGGCATCTGCCCCTCTGCTGCTCTGCAGCCTTTAGAAGCTCACAACCTTTATCTGTGAAGAAATGAATGAAAAGAAATTAAAGTGCTTGCAAAGGAATGTAATGTGGAAGGAAAATGATTTGTGCTTTTTATAAATAACATCTGTCTGTTGTGACACAGCAAGGTTGGTTCTGGTCTGCTCTGCATCAGTAGGATCCAGAAACAAACATGGTGAAGCAACATTCAGTTTATACACTTCAACAATTTGGAACAAACTTCTAGAAAACTGTAAAAATGATGAAAACAATGAGTTCCTTAAAATCAAGGCTAAAACCTTTTAGAGGTTACTATTATATGTTTTTACAGTGTAAAGCCTTGTTGCTGAAATGTTCCATACAATTCAATTCAAAACTGTTTTATTGATCCCATAGGAGACTTAAATAATACAAAATAAACTTGACTTGACTTGACAAAGGTTATTTTGGCCAGTGTTTTTGGCCAACGTCTGAAATGCTATGTGGGGTGGAAATTAGTTGAGAAAAGACACTGTGGTGGCAGCATCATGCTGTGGAAGGGTTTGTCTCTAGCAGAGACATAAAGGCTGGTCAGAGATGATACAAAGATGGTAGAACAAGTTTGAAAGTTGGACAGCTGCGAGTGAATGCATTGATCTAGAAGAACTCAGTGTTTTGGCAGTTTTGTAGTTTTCTGGAAGTTTGTCCCAGATTTGTGGAGCATGGAAACTGAATGCTGCTTCTCCATGTTTGGTTCCGGTTCCAGGGAATGCAGAGTATTAGGCACCACTTTGTGTTAGGTTCCAGCATGAAAGTTTGCAATTGAGTGACAAAGTATTGAAAAGATTAAGGTGTACAAATAATTTCATAAGACACAGTATGCTGTAAACAAGATCCAATAAACAGGGAAAATATTTTTCTTCATGTCTTTGACTCACTTTACTTTGAAAAACTCCAGTTAATCTGCACCATGTGTTTTTGCAGTGTACCTGTGGGGCCGCTTTCAAAGTGTTGCAGGTTCCACACTTCTAAACAACCGACAAAAAAACGAAACAACTATACAGAGAAAGCTAATTATGAGTAAAGTGTAGACTCAGCACCCAGTTCAATAGAATAATAATAACAATTTCATGTCTGCCCCGCAGCTAGTAGTCAGACCTGAGGCTACGGCACTTGTGGAGTTACTTTGATGTGAAAATGATAGAAAAGCTGACTTTACTTTTTGCCCTCCTTTTCATAATTTAACACCAACACATGGCAGCTCATTTACATATGAGTGCCTCCGTCACAATAGTTGCAAATCAACACAAGGCATCCTGGTGTGAAAACAAAACATTTTTAAAAATGAGAATCAAATCTGGGCTTTTGTGAAGAGTGAGGTGCCAGTTGTCCCTTGTTGTTGTAGTAAATGAGCCCGGCACCTCATCCTGACACCGCTCAGCCTCCTCTGTGAGCAGCTTGGCACCGCAGGCCGCAAGCCAGTCCCCTGCAGCTGCTCATAAAATATATAAATTTATTTTTTTTTTTTTTTTTTTCTCTCTCTGCTCTCTGCCACCACCAGGCCTCCTCTTCCCCCTGCGCTTTATTCCTGCTCTGTTTCTGTAATGAAAAATTTGGCAGATCTCATCTCTTCAGTGTCTCTTTTTCCTAGGCGACGACAACGATAAGGTAGAAGGAGGCGGTTCGTGCTTTTTGCCTTGTTTACAAGTGACAGCGATATTATTCTCATAAAGGCTCTGTTTCTTATCACCATGTTGTGCGGCGTACTCGTGCGCCTTTTCTCTCCCCCTCATCCTGCCTTTATTGACACGCTGCTGAAAATATGCATTAATTCCAGAGTTTAAAGCATGTACGCCAGTGTCTGGTTGCTGTGTTTTTGCTTGAAGTTGATTAATGATAGAAGCCTGGCTCGGGGTTGTCCTCCTGAGACCCGCCTTGCAGGTTGTGCATGTTAACGAACAGGAAGGAGGAGGTGGAAGGGGTAGGGCCAACACATAGTGCGCCGCTGATCCTCCTCCACTGACAACGGCAGAGTCCATTCACCACCCACTCTGCTCGCCTCGCGTTGTTAATCCTCCTCATTTATCAGTTCGTAAGTGAATACTCTGTTGTCGCTTGCCATGGAAGTGGAAAACAAAAAGCCTGCAGCTTTTTTTGCCGGGGATTGGAATACCTCAAAAGAAAGCTTGAAATTATCATCAGTTCCAGCAAACCTCCTCCCCAGTGTCCTCCCACCTCTTTTCCACAAAAGCCACACATTTGTTTTTGTTCCCCTGCTATATAGAGAATCAACACAGGTATCACTTAGGCTCGGTGTCAGCATTATAAATACTCCCGCTTTCAAAAGTGTACACTTGTCCGGACTTAAATTTCTATTTTTTTCATGGTACTCTGGGCTTTTAATTTAAAATTATTATCCTTTAAGCAATACTGGAAGTGACTTTTAGTTTCCAGAGTTTAGAACAGGGGATTTTCTAAGTGTATTTTTGGCCGATACTTACATGAGAAACCGATCTACCTCCCCAAAGATCTGAAAATCTGCTATTTTCTGCCCCAACCTGCAAACACGTGTGAAGTTACTCCTCTGGTTACTTTGTCACTACATTTAGTGACTTTTTACACCAAAAAATAAGTATGGGCAAAAACCATAGTGAGCAGTTCAGGCTCAGTTCAGACAATCGGCCAGGGAACTGCAGGTGCTGCACAGCGGGGGGCCATTTCACAGGTGTTTTGGCTTCCTTGTCTTATGCTGTTTGTTGGTCCTTTTGCATTGAAATGAAATTCCATTGTGCTTTTGCACAATGACAATGAAGGCATTCTGATTATTATCCTCTTGCCTAAAATACATTTGAAATCATATATTTACATAGTCTATAAAAAGAAAAAACACTTTTCCTGTTTTATGGGAATAAAAATAATTACCAGAATTATTTATATTTGCTAAATGCCAAAAATAACCCACACCTCGTGCATTCACTAATTGTTGCCTGGGCTTTTTTATTTTTATTTTTATTTGCTAAATGCCTGAGTGGCCTTTCAGCCTAACACAATATTAGTCCACCTAATATTGAGAATCTCTAGCAAAGATGCTGCAGTCAGCATCTTCACAAAGTATTTTGCTTTTCGTGACACAAACAACCCGCCTCTTTCATGAAAGATCAAATAAGGATTGATTCTAGACAACATGCAGATTGTTTAGTTTGTGGACATGGCTCCATGAAAATACAAAAGTGACCATGATATTCATTGTTTGCATTGGATTTATGCGGTTCTATGTGCTAATTTCTGGTCTGGCGTATTCCACATAGCATTTCTGACTGGGCCCTCCAAAGAGGTGTCATACTAATGCAGTGACAAATGTGATTGTCAAAAGCAGTGATGTTTTTCTGGAATTGGCTTTTAATTCCTGTGTTGTGTGACGTAAGTAGCTCCATCCTAACCGTTGTCCCAGGAACGGCATGGTACAGGTCAGTTTGATTTCCACTTTGACAATGGAAGTAGACAAAATAGCATAACAAATGATCTGTAGAAACGAGGTTGGTTGTAAGTCTAGTTCAATCTGAATTTAAAGTTTTCTATTGTTCTCAAATGAAATCAAATGGCCCTCATAAAATCAGTCAAAATACTGATGGGTAAAATGTGACATGGTAAATGAAAGATAAGTTATTTCTACAAGAAATCAATGTTAAAACCAATCAATTTTTGTCCTTTTACAAAACAAAAGTGTTTCTTACTTACCTAGGAAATGTTTCTAGCAAATTCTAGACTTAAAGCTGCATAGTGACTGGTTAGTGTCAGACACTAACCACTTTCACTGCTCTCCTCCCAACTCTCCTGTAGGCATCACATCAGCGTTAAGGAGGAACCACTGGACCCTGAAGACCACGACGGACCCCTCTCCCTGGTCACAACCGCCAATCACAGTCCGGACTTCGACCACCACAGAGATTATGATGATGATGTGGGCCATGACGACATGCTGTAAGGCCAGGGACCTTCTGGAAGACGGGAAGGCTGGACTTCAGTCTCTCAAGTGTCGCTCCAAGCAGACTGACGTTTTAGTGCCATTGCAAAGCAAGAAAGTAAAAAAGTGGGAAAAGTGGAGGGGTGGGGGGCGTCTTTTGAGTTCAGATTGCTTTCTACCTTTTGATTTCAGTAACCTCTTAAACAGTGAAGACAAACGTTGTTGGATGGATCGGCTTGGTACCGGGGAGGGGGCGGGGACCAAAGTGTTTGAGGTCAAACCTTCGCTGCGCAGCCATGACGGACTGCACTCAGTGGACTGCGAGGGACTCTGTACTCCCACCACCACACTCTCAGACACACATGTGACCAGAGAGAGAGATAAAGACATTTATTTACACGGTGTGTGTGTGCATGAAGGAGAGCGAATGAGTTCATTGTCAATGCCTTCAACATGTTTAATTCCATCAAAAATGGGAGGGAGCTTTTTTTTCTTTGGGGGGTGGGAGTGTCTTTTGTTGGTTTTAAGAGGAAGATTCTAAAATGTCAATTTATTCAATGCTGTTTCACATATTGCATCTTTATTTGTGATTATTTTTTGAAACTGATCAGACCTCATGCCCGTGCTGTGGAGATTCCGTGCGGTCGCCACTTGATGATGAATGTTTTTAATTTCCTCTCATGCTGTTCTTTAAAAAAAGAAAAAAATATACACACATGAAGCAGAATGGTAGATACCAAGTAGTATTTTTCTGTCATTTATTCTTTCCAAACAACATAAAAAAAGAAAAGAACAGAAGAAAAGCTGCCCTCCTCTGCGTCTCTGTCCCTCCTGCCCGTGAAGTCCATCAGCAATGCACTACTCATAATGAAGACTCTCTTCACGCATCAATGGAGTTTAATTTAAGATGCGAATGAATGACAGAGAAATCATGCAGGTTATGATTTATCCTTATGAAATTATTCTTTAAAACAGCCCCTTGTGGCACATCGTGCTGAGCTGCAACATGATTTTTGATCACTTACAAGGTGTCTTTTTTTCTTTTTCTTTTCTTTTTAAGCCAAATGAAAATGATGAAAATGTCAGGTGTCCACTGGCAAAGATAATGATTTAGACCAACTAATTGTGATTCCTGAACACAGCCGTTGTTAATCAAACGCGTCTGCTTCCCCCTGTGCAGGTGTTTCACACGGCGCTTGAAGATAAATCCCTGTTTCCCATTGTTTTTACATATCACCTGCATGACTAGTTGCGAGTTTTGAGCGTTAGTAAAATGCAACTTCAGATGGAACACAGAGAGTAACGATCCCGGGATCGGCGAACGTTTCACATTCCAGCATCTGACAGCAAATATAAAGCTGTGCACCAACGACTCTGTTCAGCCCCCAGAAATTAGAATTAGTGATTTGTGATGCAGCAAAAATAAATTTCAACCGTTTAAATTATGCATATAGGAGATTGTTCATTTCAAGACTGCAATAAACCACTTTAAATCTTTTATTTATTCTTAGTTTCAGGTTTATTTTGGGTCACCTCTGGCGTTTTTTGTGTCGGTGCGTTTTGATATCTTGTCATGTGACTACCAAAGATAAACTACAAAGTAAATGTGTGTTCCATGTAGGCATGGGCAGGTTGCTGGTTGAGGTTTTTAAAAGCAAATTATGTAACATTCAAATGGTGTAAAGTTCTTTTAATGAAATACAGAACAAAGGTGATGTCGTGCAAAAGACAAGTTCAGCTGTTTGGAAAAATTTGATGTTGTAAATATTTTACTTTTCCATTTGAAATGACAGGCAAAAAATGTATGACATTAGGCATTTTTTAAGTTCCAGGATATACACCACTATAAGAATCTCACAGCGGCTCATGCCTCGTCTGATGCAAGAGCAAAGAAGGCCAAATATTCTCCATTCATTCTGCCAGCCTACAGAATCAAAACAAAACGCTTCTCAAAGTGTGTTTTCACTCTTTTTTTATTCTTATTGATTTAAACCAAAGGGGATTGATTCAAACAGGAGAGCTGCAGCTTTGCAGTCCAAAAGTGAATGGGAGGAGCTGGCAGGCTTGACTACATGATGACCAAAACAGAGGAATCTTTAGTCTTTGGAGCCAATTATGTGGGAACAAAAAGTATTCTGGTCCAAGGAAAAACAATGTGAACAAATTCATGTTCTTCAGCTGGACCACACCATGATTCTTTCCTGTGTTTGTATCCTTTAAAATGATTGTATATCACTCTCATCTTTTTTTGTTTTGTTTTGGATTTTCTTTGGTCAAGACTTTATGATTGTGTTTAGTTTTTGTCAACTTACTGCTTTTTATATTAAAAAAAACACTCCTGTCAACTAATAAGCTGGGTACAAGGTACTTTTATGGCAATTATTGCTTTTTGTCCTCATTATCTAAAAAAACTAAAGAAAGTTGATCTGTGGTTTTCCAGAAGACATATTTAATATCCAGGCAGCTGTGGGACGACCGGGTCGCTTCCAGCCGGGCCGGGATCGTGAGAATGGGGCCGAGCTGATCCACAGAACTTCGGCCTTCAGTTTGTTTGGTATTCGTAACGAAGGGGGGAGGGCTAAAAGGGAAGCACTGGTAGATTAGATCACTCTCAGCATGTGTAGCTCGACATTACTAAAGATAACAGCATGAGAAAACAGTTAGGGCGCATACCTCGGCTCAAACCTACAGGGAGCGATTAGGTTCGGCGAGAAAAATAAACATTTGACTTAGCTGTGCGGCTTGCATGTATAGAGAAACAAAGTAAAAAGGACAGAAATCAGAGCTTCTTTTTCTTTTAAAACCATGATTTAATGTGAAGTACATCACCCAGCTGTATGGCGGTGTCTCCCCTGTCCAGTGATTTTTCCTCCTCTGGGCTGACGGGTCTGTTTTAAGGGAGCTCAAAATTCAAGTTTTGCTTTTCTCTCTCTGAGGTCACATCCATTCGTCTGCTTTTGTATCAAGTACGAAATAGAAAAAGAAACTGCTGTATGTGTCAGAATAGGAGATTGCTGCAAATGTATTTTATGTAGTAATCCTTGCTTTACATCAAAATGAAAGGGGAAAATAATCCTTTGGGTGGGAATGGGCCAGATTTTTGATTTTCAAATTGTATATTATAGAAAAACACTTTTTTTTTTTCTCTGTCACTGACCTGAGCATTTTGTACAGTTTTCCTTCCCTGTTTGTGTTGAGCTGTTTTTTATACTTCCTTTCGTCGGTCCAACCACTGCCTTCTGTGGGCCGTATGTTAGAGATGGCGTGTTTCCGCTCCGAGGCGGAGGTACATTGCATGACTGAACCCAGGGTCACACAGATTTTGTGGGGAAGGTCATATCATTACTATTAAGGGTGCACTATCAATCTAATGATATTTTGTATGAAATTATTAGAAAAAAAGGAAGAAAAATATGCAGTGCCAAGGTGTAAAAAATATTAACGGCTTTTTTTTTTCATGTTTCTTTTTCAGCCCCCACACATAAATACATGTGCTCGCCCATGTCATGTAGATTAAACACTTTTTTTTTCATTCAATTCCCCTAATCTGGTAATTGCCAGAGTCAAAATCCAAGTACAGCAGGCATGTCACAGGATTTACAAACGCCCTGCTAACAGTCCATCCTCTAAATATCTCTGTCACACACGCGCACACACACTTACTAAAAATGTCATCACTTCATCCATCACCAACATCCAACCTGCCATCATTCCGTCCCCCCACATTTCTCCAGTTCTCACATCACACTTTTGTTTCTTTTAAGAAATGAAGCGCAGGGTTGTGAGCACTAACCCAGGAACTGTTGGGGTCTCTTCCTGCAGAAGGTGTTCAGTTTCTATTCTTGCTTTTTTTTCTTTTTCCCTCTCATATGTTGTTTTTTCTAAACAGAGAAATATGATTATTCATCACTTCCATGAGTCTGTAAACTCATCATTCCTTGTCTGTTGGACGTAGGCCACTCTGTTGTAGTCAGTGGCAATGACTGACGTGAGCATTCTTAACATGCAATAAAATGCTGGTTGTTCAAACTGTGCCTCCTGGTTTGCTTTGGTTGATTAAGTCTTGCTTGAGTCTAATTAATAAAAAGAACTTTTACACTGCCTTCATATTTGAATATGGCATCGTCTTTTTATTCTTAGCTGTTGCCAAACCTGAAGTGTAATTTGTTTCAACTAAATGTTGAAACGTTTAGTTGAAATAAAGTTCAATGGTGAAACAATGTTGACTTGTTAGCAGCCAACTTTAATCTATTTACATTTTGTCACATTTTAAGTAAGGGGCCATAATATTAAGAAAAGCTGTGATATTATCTATGAACGTTGTGTTAAATTACAAAAAATACTGTTTTTCTGCTGCATTCCAACACGTATGTAATATTATAAAAATGAACAAATCATAGAAAAAGAAGCATTTTATATGCACTTAGCAATTTGTTTGTACAATGCAGTTTAGGTTTGAAGTTAAAAATTAAGTCAGACAATGACAATGTTGTTTCTCACTCTGATCTCAAAGTCCAATATGACCACCTTCTGAAACTCAACTGAAAAAAAAAACTTTACAAAGCAATTTAACTTGTACTGGCAGCAGCTAGTTCTGATCTGGGTTCAGATCAACTGAACCCAGAAGAATTAGAATTTTTTTCCTAAATCTTCAGACTAAATGGATGAAGTACAACATAGTAAATGTAAATGTACTGTCAAAAGAATAAAAAAATAAATAACATACACATAAGGTCTATGTTATTTAGGTGAATTACTTTAGTAGACCCTGTAATAACAATTTAAAGTTCTGACCCTAAATTCACTCAATTCTGTTTTGTTCAAGAGTTTTTCTCTTCTATGTAGATTTGTGTTTGTTGCTTCTCTAAGCCTAAAAGTCCTTAAATTATAATTAAAAAAAGACAGTTTAACTATCTTTCCTGAACAGCAATTTTGGTAACTGCCTTTGATAAGCTGTAAATTGTAAATGCATTAAAATCCCAGAAATAATAGCAACATAAGCTTATGTTGAGATGCTGGGCTCTGATTTTTTTTTTTATGACAGAGGTGTGAGGTCATGTTAGCCACTAAACAGGAGACAGAGATCAAGTCTAAGCACTTTTAATCTTATGAAACAAGCAATTATAAATAGTTGCATTGATTTGTTAAAAAGCTTTTGGTGACATAAATCGTTTCTTGCTGGAAAACATAAATGTCAAGTGTGTTATTAAAAAAGACCAGTGAGAGGATAAGATTCAACGTAAGAGATATAAAATCCCAAACATTTTTTCTGGGGGTAATATTTCACAGAAAACCCCAGCTCTTTTAAATCCATGTTGTTTTCATGAGCGTGATCACAAACTGATCACATCCTATAAAGCTGTAGTGAGCACAGACACACGTGAGGAAGCAACGTGGTGTGTTTGTCCTTCGTGTTCAAGTTTAGACTCAGTCCCAGATTTTACTTGCTTCGGTCTGGAGGAGCCAAAGAAACTTTCACACTGGTCCTCTTTGCTCCATAAAAATGGCTGAAATGTGGGACGAGTCATTCTCATGCAAAAAGTAAAAACTGTTCCCACAATGATAAATCTGGCTTTATTGGCAGAATGTTAACACTTTAGTTTAAATTTTGCATTTGACAAAAATGACAAAAATGTTTTTTGAACTAATTTCTGATTTCAGAAAATTTCTCACATACTTTATCATCCTTTGTCTTAGTTAGTACTAAAGCAAATACATTGCTGATCTGGGCACTCA